CTGCGTTATAGCAAAAATACAAGGAAGACTTTAAAATATAGGAAAATACCAACTTTATTACTTTGCCTGCTATCTATAGCATACAACTCTCCTTCTAATAAAGTGTAAATACCTACATTTAGATACAGTAATGGCCAGGTTCCTCAATTGTGAGTTGTATTGTCATACAGTTGCTGGGAAAAACTTAGCTTAGCACTTGATATCCCTATGACAGTCAAATAAAGTGGTATCTGTGCCTTCCATGGGTTCCCTGAACAAGATCTCTATGGTAAACCTGAGGCACAGATAATGTCTTAGGTAAAGACCTTTGGTTAAAGCAAAAAACTCCTATCTTCTCAGTGACATGACATGATGTCTTGGTCATCTGTTAGGTGAGGGGTGAGGAATTCCCTTTTGGGAAATTGAATATAAAGTCAACTAGAAATGACTAGAGTATTGATGCATAGCCATGGATCCCCACTGTAAGGGAATATGATTCAGGGTGGAGTCATAAGTACTGACCAATAAGAACTGGTCACCTTAAAGCAGAGTGCTGGAAGTATCCTGCTGTGCCAGCATTGAGACTTCAGCTGATGGACCATTAGGAATTTAGGGGACAGAGCTCTTCGGGGGAGGCTTAAGAGAGCTGGAGTAGTGATAGGGGTTGGGGGATCTTGGGAGCCTTACAAAACAGGTCTTCCCAAGAAGTATGGAAGCATTCCAAAATTTTAGCAATTGGAATGGCCACACTGGTGTATATCCACATGAATGGATGAGATCTCCAAAAGGAGAGGTTGGAAAAAACAAGACAAGGAAAGGGGATTTAGTATAGAACCCAAATAAAGAATATTTGGGCCAGAGAGAATATGTAAAACATTCAAAAGAAAGGTAGTGTCACAAAGTAAGGAAATACTTGAATGTGTTTCATCTTCAGAATCAAGTCTTCATTATTTAGCAAATGAGAGCATTCCAACTTCCTTATTCTATTTCTTACTGCTCCGCATACTGAAGGGAAGCCTGCGTATAGGCAGATCCCCACCTACTTACGCACAGTAAGTACCAAATCAGTATTCCATGAAGTCCTGCTATTTCCACCAGCTTTTTATCCTAATTAACTGAAGACTCCATGTATATTTATGACCAAAAAATAAAAGATCAATTGAGAAAAATTGTAAACATAAAAGGATGGAATCAAAACAAAATCAATGTTTTTTTCTGAAGGAAATAAAATGCAGGGAAAGAAAGAAAATGTCTTTTTAAAAGATGCACTAGTGATATCCTTAGAAGCTTAAGTGAATAGTGTATCATACAAGTGAGTTTGTTATAAAAACAGAGCCATCAAGGAAATTCTTAGAAATTAAAAATATAGTTTTTAAGACCAAAACACTCAGAATGACAAAACAGTCATACCAGAGACCACATTCATAATATGAAGGAAAAGTAAAAGGAATCTTCAAGAGAATAGAATATCAAGACATGCAGAAAATATGAGGAAAAAAATTTGAAGTCATAGAGAAAGAAAAATGAAAAAAAATAGAGAAAATGTACCTGATTTTCAAAAAAACTTTGGTCTTTAGATCAAAAAGGCCCACCTAGGCTGGGTGCAGTGGCTCACTCCTGTAATCTCGATACTTTGGGAGGCCAAGGTGGGAGGATCATTTGAGCACAGGAGTTCAAGACCAGCCTGTGCAACATAGTGAGAACTTATCTCTACCAAAAAAAGTAAATTAAGTAAATAAATAAAATTAGCCTGGCATGGTGGCTTATGCCTGTAGTCCTAGCTACTCGGGAGGCTAAAGCAGGAGGATTGCTTTAGCCCAAGCAGTCAAGGCTGCAGTGAGCCATGATCATATCACTGCACTACAGCCTGAGTTACAGAGTGAGATCTTGTCTCGAAAGAAAACAAAACAAAACAAAAACCAAACAAACAAACAAAGAAAAAACAAGGCTCACCCAGAACTGAGTAGGAATAATTCTTAAAAATATACCTAACATATTCTTGTGAATTTGTGAAATTTATGAACTCTAGAAATAAGAAGAAAAATCCTAAACTTTTTAAGAGAGACATCAGATTTACCTGTAAAGAAATAAGAAAAAGACTTCTCATTTGCAACAGAGAATTACCTATTAAAACTAAAGAAAGGGGCTTTTAAAACTCTGATTCTGCACACAGCAAAATTATTATCCAACAATGCAAGCAAAATGAAGACTTCCAAACATGCAAAAATTCAGGAAGTATTTTACATCTTCACTCTCTGAAAAAAGTACCTAATGATTTCCTCCAGCAAAATAACAAACGATAAGAAATAAACGATGAAAGATAAAAACGCAAAAACTAAAAATAAATGTCCCAAGTAGATCTAAATTCCTCTAATTTGTGTGGTGCCAGTATGTATGGTTGTAAGAGTGTCAGAGAAGAGAAGATGAAGGTTACATCATTGTAAGATTGACAGTTTGCAAGTAGCAGATGTCTACAGGACAGGAGGCCATGAGATTTAAAGATGCTGGTAAGGCAGTGTTTGATGATTCACCACCAGGTAGAAGAAAGAACGAAGTATGGAAGGAAATAAAAGCCCCATTGGGGAGTCAATGGAAAGGAGAACAGAGAGGAATCAAGGTAAGAGAACTTGAGGATGTTGGTGATGCTGATGTTGTATAGCAAGAGTAGGAGAATGAGAGAGACTGAGACACTGTTGTTAGCTGAGAAGGAGACAATGGAAGTTTGTGCCCACAAACTCTACTTGAAGGCAAGTCATGAGTATGGGAAACTGTTTTGCTCATCTAGCAAGGCTGGACCAAAAAATGTCCATGATCAGAGAGTGATGTACTGGAGTTGAAGATTTTAAATGCAGACTACTTCCAGAGGGTGACAAGGCCAAGAGTGAATCATCGATTGGGTAGGCTGATAAAGAGTTCACACAAACAGGCTCATGACTGTAATCCCAGCACTTTGGGAAACCAAGGCAGGCAGATTACTCTAGGTCAGGAGTTCGAGACTGGCCTGACCAACTTGGCGAAACTCTGACTCTACCAAAAATACAAAAACTAGCTGGGTGTGGTGGCACATGCCTGTAATCCCAGCTACTTGGGAGGCTGGGGCAGGAGAATTGCTTGAACTTAGGAGGCAGAGATTGCAGTAAGCCATGATCACATCACTGTACTCCAGCCTGAGTGAGACTCCATCTCAAAAAATATATACATGTATATATTTTATATATATATAAAATATGTATTAAATATATATTTAAATATATATATTAAAAAAACAACAGAAAAACAGTTAACACAAACAACCTAAGTACCCATTAATGATAGATTGGATAAAGAAAATGTGGTACATATACACCGTGGAATACTATGCAGCCATAAAATGGAATGAGATCATGTCCTTTGCAAGGACATGGAAGGAACTGGAAGCCGTAATCCTCAGTAAACTAATGCAGGAACAAAAAATCAAACACTGCATGTTCTCCCTTATAAGTGGGAGCTCACGATGGGAACACATGAACACATGGGGGGAAACAGCACACACTGGGGCCCGTCGGGGGTATTGGTGTGGGGAGGGAGAGCATCAAGAAGAATAGAATGGATGCTAGGCTTAATACCTAGTTGATGGGATGATCTGTGCAATATACCACCATGGCACATGTTTGCCTATGTAAAACACCTGCACATTCTGCAGATGTACCCCTGAACTCAAAATGAAAGTTAAAAAAGTAAAACCACTATTCCTCATAAACTACTACATATATGTGTGTACATATAGATTAAAAGTATGGGCCTTAAAATTGAAAAAAAAAACGACAAACATCACTGGATTTGTGGAGGTCAAGGAATTGTGAGAATTAAGTGGTTAGTCGTTCTATCTCATGGCTGTTAAAATTTCTTAGGGTGATTACAGGAGTAGAGATAGATAGAAAGATAGTAAGCCTGGAATCAAATTTTGTAATAAATATGGGGAAGTGCCTAGATTATTAGATGACATGATGAATACAGTTAGAGAAAAGATAGGTCAGAATGGCATAAGCACTCATCAGAGGAAAGATTTTGTATAGGAATACAAAATAGAATGGTTTAAAAGCAACATTGAGGGGCTGAGAGATTACCTTGTAGACATGAAGTGGGGAAAATAGAACAGCTTCCATTGAAGCAGAAAATCACTCTGAAGAACATCAACTTTGAAATAAGGAAAAAGGGTAGAAGTGTCTGCAAAGAGGTTAGAAATAAAAAGGCATAACTTATACCTGATGTAAATGACGAGTTGATGGGTGCAGCACATCAACATGGCACAAGTATGCATATGTAATAAACCTGCACGTTGTGCACATATACCCTAGAACTTAAAGTATAATAATAAAGAAAAAAAACAAAAAGAAATAAAAAGGTGTTTGGTTGTGTTTCACAGATGTAGGGTAAGGGATTTAGAGGAAGGTTTCCTGGTGGAAGAATTCAAGGTGGAAGTCAGGAGATGTGTGAAGTTAAGAAAATGGGAGAGGACAGAGAATTGAGAGGCTTGCCTTAGGGTAGTGGTTGATGGCAGGTATAAGAGGTGTGGAATTAACTGGCCTCAGGGTTGTGCTTGAACTTCAACTTGTCTCACTGCTGAATCACCAGGCCTGAGAAAATCTCTATTTACTGACTGTTTTAAAGTGTACCAAGTCAGGGTGGGCGCAGTGGCTCAAGCCTGTAATCCTAGCACTTTGGGAGGCCAAGGTAGGCGGATCACCTGAGGTCAGGAGTTCCAGACCAGCCTGTCCAACATAGTAAAACCCCGTATCTTCTAAAAATAGAAAAATTACCCAGGTGTGGTGGTATGCACCTGTAGTGCCAGCTACTCAGGAGCCTGAGGCAGGAGAATCACTTGAACCCAGGAGGTCGAGGTTGCAGTAAACCGAGATCACGCCACTGCACTCCAGCCTGGGCAACAGTGAGACTCTGTCTCAAAAAAATATATAAAAAATAAATAACTAAGTGTACCAAGTCAACTTTCAAATCAATAGACGAATCTCTTTCCCACTCACTCATCTTCACTTGCAGGGCTCCACAACTCTCCACAGCTCCTCCCACACCATTGTTGGCCGTGCAGCAGTAAATGCCATCATCACTGTCTTCCACACTCAGGATGGTGAGGAGCTGACCATTCTCCCGGATGCTGTACCGGGTGTCAAAGAGCCTGCAGGTCACAGAGAAAAATGACAGATTAGTGCTTCATCTGTGATTTTTTTGCTATGATTAACTTATCAAACTGATGAATTGTTAATGAGGAAGTAGAATAAAAGTGAGAGGAAACTTGAGTGAGTTCTGAATAATAGAATAACCTTACTTGGTAATATAAAGCTAACATTATATTCTCATCTTTCTTAGGCTCCAATAGTCAAAGTACCATAGTCCTTCAAAAACACTTTCAAAGGGTGATGCCTACTGATAAGACAAAATGTAAAGTTTACTTTATTCAGGAAAGCATATAAAACCAAGATACAGGGGTCTTCTCTCAATAATTTCTGGGAAGTAGCAGCTATGAATAGATAATGAACATGCATACGTATAAATACAATGAACAGAAAGAGTTAATTATTTGTAGAAGTAACTAATGATTAGTTGAATATTCATTCTTTCATTAAACAATTGCTTATTACTTACTGAATGCTAACAAGTGCCAGGCACACTTCTAGTTACTTGGGATATATAAGGAAGGAAAACAATTTCAAACAACAAAAATATATGCTTTACATATATTATCTATTTAATTATATGCACACCATTTGTTGAGAAGGGAATTAGGGCGATAGAAAGAAATAGGAAGGGAAGCAGCAATATAAAAGAGAGTTTCTTTTAACCAAATAAGATTTTTTTAATGCCAAATGCGTGTGGTAAGCAGAGTAACACTCCCACAAAGGTTCTTGTTTTAATCACCAAAATCTGTCAATATGTTACCTTATTTTGCAGATGTTAAGAATCCTAAAATGGAGTATTCTGGACTATTCAAGTGGGCCCTGTGTGATAATAAGTATCCTTAAAAGATGGAGGAAGGAGGCAGATTGATAAAGGGAGGTACGACAATGGAGGCAGAGGTCAGAGTAGTGCCATTGCTAGCATTACAAGTGGAGTACAGGGCCAAGGAATGCAGGTGGCCTCTAGAAGCTAGGAAAGGCAAGAAATCAGATTCTTCCCTAGAGCCTCCAGAAGGAACTCAGCCATGCCAACACTGACTTTAGCCCAGAGAGATTTATTTCATACTTGTGACCTCCAGAACGATAACATAGTATGTTTATGCTGTTTTAGGCCACTAAGTTTGTGGTAATTTGTTACAGCAAGAATAAGAAACAAATACAGGTTTTGGTACCTGGAAGTGTGGTGCTGCTGCAATAAATACCTAAACATGTGGATATGGCTCTGAAATTGAGGAATAGTTGGAACTGAGAAAAATTTGAAAAGCGTGCTAGAAAAAGCCTGCATTTCCTCAGAGACTGTTAATAGAAATATGTGTGTTAATGATTCTGCTCCTGAGGAATTGGAAGGAAGAGAGTTGAATGGTAGAGAAAATCTAAATCATCTTAAAGAATACCTAAATTATCATGAACAGACTGTTGGTAGAAATATGTATGTTCAAAGCACTACTGGTGAGGACTTGGGTGGAAACGAGGAGCATGTTACTAGGAAAGGAAGAAAAGGGGATCCTTGTTATGCAGGACAGAGAACTTAGCTGAATAGTGTCCTGCAGTTATGTGGAAAACAAAACTTGTGAATGATGAACTCAGATATTTAGCTGAGGAAATTTCTAAGCAATGTGTCGAAGCTGTGGCCTCATTTCTTTTTGCTGGTTATAGTAAAATTCAAGAGGAAAAGATAAGTGGGAAAAACTGCTAAGCAAAAAAGGAACCAGGACTTGACGATTTGGGATTATCAGCCTATCCAGATTGCACAAAATACTAGAAAACCAAATTCAACAATACATTAGAAAGATCATCTGTCATGACCAACTGGAGTTTATCCCTGGGATACAAGGATAGTTCAACATATGCAAATCAATCAATGTGATACATCATATCAACAGATAAAGGGTAAGAAACATATGGTCATTTCAATAAATGCTGAAAAAGCATTTGATGAAAATTCAGCATCCCTTCGTGATAAAATCCCTCAAAAATTACATGGAAAATGCCTCAGAATAATAAAAGCCATATACGACAGACCCACAGCCAGTATCATACTGACTGGGGAAAAACTGAAAGCCTTTCCTCTAATCTGGAATGCAACAAGGATGCCCACTGTCACCACTGTTACTCAAAACAGTCCTGGAAGTCCTACCTAGAGCAATCAGACAAGAGAAAGATATTAAGGGCCATCCAAATTGGATGGGAAGAAATATCTTTTTTACAGATGATATGCTCTTATATTTGGAAAAGCTTAGACTCCACAGAAAACTATTAGAACTGATAAATTCAGCAAAGTTGCAGGATACAAAAATCAACATACAAAAATCAGTAACATTTGTATATGCCAACAATGAACAATATGAGAAATAAATTTTAAAATAATCTTGTTTACAATAGCCACACATAAAATTAAATAGGAATTAATCAAAGAAGTAAAAGATCTCTATAATGAAAACTGTAAGACACCAATGAAAGAAATTCATGAGGACACCAAAAAATGGAAATATATTCCATATTAATAGATTGGAATAATCAATATTATTAAAATGTCTACACTACTGAAAGCAATCTATAGATTCCATGTAATTCCTATCAAAATACCAATGGTATTCTTCACAGAAATAGAAAAAAAATCCTAAAATTTATGTGGAACCACGAAAGGCCCAGAATAGCCAAAAGAAAAATGAAAAAAAACTGGAGGAATCACATTGCCTTACTTCAAATCATACTACAGAGCTAGAGTAACCAAAACAGCATGGTACTTGCATCAAAAGAGACACATAGACCAATGGGACAAAAATGGAGAACCCAGAAATAAATTCATGCACCTACAGTGGACTCATTTTCAACAAAGGTACCAAGAACATACACTAAGAAAAAGTCTCTTCAGTAAATGATGTGTGGAAAAGTGGATTTCCATGTATGGAAGAATGAAACTAGACCCCATCTCTCTCCATATACAAAAATCAAATCAAAATGGATTAAAGACTTAAATCTAGGACTTCAAACTATGAAACTACCACAAGAAAACATTGGGGAAACTCTCCAGGACATTGGTCTGCGCAAAAATTTCTTGAGCAATATCCACAAGCACAGGCAACCAAAACAAAAATGGACAAATGGGATCACATCAAGTTAAAAGGCCTTCTGCACAGCAAAGGATACAATAAACGAAGTGAAGAGACAACAAATAGAATGGGAGAAAATATTTGCAAACTACCCATCTGACAAAGGATTAGTATCCAGAATACATATGGAGCTCAAACAACTTTACAGTAAAAAATCAATTAATCCAATCAAACACAGGCAAAAGATTTGAACAATTTCTCAAAAGAAGACATGCAAATGGCAAACAGGCATATGAAAAAGTGCTCATAATCATTGATCATCAGAGAAATGCAAATAAAAACTACAATGAGATATCATCTCACCTCAGAATATGGCTTATATCCAAAAGACAGGCAATAACAAATGCTGGCAAGGATGTGTAGATAAGGGAACCCTTGTATACTGTTGATGTGGGAATGTAAATTAGTACAGCCACTAAGGAGAATAGTTTGAAGTTTCCTCAAAAAACTAAAAATTGAGCTACCATATGATCCAGCAATCCCACTGCTGGATGCATAAGCAAAAGAAAGGAAATCAGTATATCAACGAGATATCTGCACTTTTATGTTTGTTGCAGCACTGTTTATAGTAACTAAGATTTGGAAGCAACTTATGTGTTCATTAACAAATGAAAGGATAAAGAAAATGGGGTACATAGACACAATGGAGTACTATTCAGCCATAAAAAGAATGAGATCCAGTCATTTGCAAAGACATGGATGGAACTGGAGATCATTATGTTAACTGAAATCAGCCAGGCACAAGAGATAAACATTGCATGTTCTCACTTATTTGTGGGATCTAAACATCAAAACAATTGAACTCATGGACATGTAGAGTAAAAGGATGGTTACCAGAGGCTGGAAAGGGTAGTACAGGGATCGGGAGGACTACGGGATGTTTAGTGGGTACAAAAAAGTAGAAAGAATGAAAAAGTCCTACTATTTGATAAGACAACAGAGTGGCTATAGTCAATAATAACTTAGTTATACATTTTAAAATAACTTAAAGTGTGTAATTGGATTGTTTGTAACTCAAATGATAAATGCTTGAGGGGATGGATACCCCATTCTCCACGAGGTACTTATTTTACATTGCATGCCTGTATCAAAATGTCTCATCTACTTCATAAATATGTATATACCTACTATATACCCACAACAATTTTAAAAAATTAAAATGTGGAATACTTACTTAATGAGAATTTTATTTCTGGTCCAGGAAATCTCAGGCTGGGGGTAGGATTCCACTGCACACATGAAAGTAGCCACTTCTTCAACTAAGGCATCCACAGTTTCAAGAGGAGTGGTGATGACAGGAGCTGAAAGGAAAGGAGAAATCAAAAGAGAACATTCCAGAATTTTGTTTACTAACCCTTCCTTAAGTAGTCAGAAGCCATTATATACCTGAATGAGAATTCTGTTTCCCCAGAGTAGAAATTTGCCAAAAGAAAGGAAGAGCTTATGTAAAGAATGTTGTTTCTACTTCCAAACTAGGCATTTGAAAATCAAAAGAGAAGACTCCCAGGAGAGCAGGGCTTAGACTCCATGATATATGAGGAGAGGCAGATCCAAGTTTTATGGGCCCCAAGTTTATGCAACTTGAGTGTACTTTTTAAAGAAAAAATATAAAATTATGAGTACAAAATTTCTGTGGCCACCCCAGTATTATCAGCATAAAGGAAAGTGACTCTGAAGGGAAGTCAAGGTGGAAAAGGATAATAATTTTAAAAATTGTTGTTTAAGAACAATTTCCCCCTGATTTTATAAAAATAGACACTCATATAAGCACATTACTAAAGCCCAGCGAGGGTCTTAGAAAGGGCTCCTGCAAATGAGAGAATCTGAAGCTTAAGCTTCATCAGATTTGTAGAGAATTCACTGTGGCATACAACTAGAAAATGAAGAGGCACCACTTTGTGAATTGTACATTTTAAAGGGTAAAGCGCAAGGTATGTGAATGATATCTCAATAAAGCTGTTTTGTTCTATTTTATTTTTGTTAAGACAATGGGAGGAAAGGCTATAGACATGGTCCCTTCTTTTTTCTCACTCCTCTGTGAAATGAGAGCTACCTGCATTTATACAGTAAATCATATGGTTGCTTCAGTTAAAGGGCAAGGTATATATCAAAGTCAAATAAGTAGTGTGATTGACGTTTAGAGGTGAAATAGTCAGTGACAGACTTATAAAGCATCTAGAACAGACTGGCACATTGTTTGGCCATAAAAGATACATCTACTTTCTGAATAAACCTTATTATTATTATTATTTTTAAATTGTTTTTTTTTGGTAAAGTCAAAGGCAACTCATCTGCTGAGAGTGAGAAAAAATGGTGAGTGGGAGTGTTTTACTTGCTCCATATCTCCCTTGCTAATGTTATTTTGTCTTTTAGGATTCGGTTTAAACATCTATCTCCTTCCACTTTCCCTGACATGCTAGGCAGACCCAAATGCCCTTTTCCTTAACCTTATGTTATCCTGTAAATGTCAGTCTTATAATGTCACTTGTCACACAGATACTATTTAAATGATCTGTTTACGTCTTTGTCCCACACTCAATTATTAAAACCTTGAGTGTTAGTTCAGGGATCATGTTTTAGGCATCTTTTAATTCCCAGGGTGAGCACCGTGACTGATATACTGTTTAAATGAACAAAACTGTATTTATAAGGCCTCCACAAAAGGAGTAAATACAAAAGTTGAAAGATAGTAGTTGAAATAAGAAAGCAGAATTTTTATGTAAAATGCTTCTTATACACAGTCATCAGGGCCACCTTCTTCCCAGCTTTTCAACAGAATAATCATTATACATTATAATAATCATAATATATATTAATATAATCATAATATAATAATCATTATAATATATTATAATCATTATAATATACAGAACATAGTACAAAGAAATACAGACATGGACACTATTAAAGAATAGTTAGGAGATATAAAGTATAGAATGACAGGCACTAATACACCTCTGATAGAAGTTTGAGAAAAATAAAAGAGGGGAGCAGCCTAGAAGCAATATATAAAGAGGTAAATAGCTGATAATTTTTCAAAACTAAAAAAGAAACCCAGGAATATTAAGATTGAAAGTACCCACCAAGTGACAAGACAGATTTTAAAGAAAGAAATTCAGCTGGGCATGGTGGCTCACACCTGTCATCCCAGTAATTTGGGAGGCTGAGGAGGTCAGATCACTTGAGCTCAGGAGTTCAAGACCAGTCTGGCCATCATGGTGAAACCCTGTCTCTACTAAAAATACAAAAACTTTAGCTGGACATGGTGGTGCACACCTGTAGTCCCAGCTATATGGGAGGCTGAGGCACGAGAATCACTTGAACCCAGGAGGTGGAGGCTGCAGTGAGCTGAGATCACACCACTGCACCCCAGCCTGAATGATAGAAAGAGAGTGTTTCAGGAAAAAAAAAAAAAAAAGGAAAGAAAGAAATTCATACTTGGACACATTGAATTAAAACTATAAAAATTAAAGATAAAGAAAATCTTAAACTCTACTAGAAAGAAAAAGATTAATTCCTTAAGAATGCCAATTCAGGGTAACCTGAGATTATTCAGCAACAACAATTGATACCAAAAGGCAATAGGCTAATATCTTTACATGACTAAGTCAAAATAACTGTTAGCTTAGAATCATACAGCTAGCTTAGGTAATAATTTTAAAGTCAGAACACTTACAAACAAATATTGAAAGTGTTTACCACTCACAGACTTTTCTCAGAAATAGTTACTAGAGTAAATAAACTCAGACAGGAATAATTTATACCAGAAAGAAAGGAGTGAGTTATAAAAAACAATAGCATAAATGGTGGTGAAATATCATTGCAATTTTAACACACTATGGAATATTTAAAAAAACTCACAGATTTTTGTGTTTAAAAAAGAGTGGAATTAAATTCTAGACAAACAATTATAAGATCAAAGTTCACGGAAGAAGTTTAAAATGCTAAATAGTTACAAAATGTTAAGCTCTTTGCCATAAAATGCAAGAGGATAGAAATGTTGACTAACTTCAAACAGAAAGAAAAATCTATGGTTAAATGCTTATGTTAAAACTTCATTAGTGGTTACCACTGAAAAACAGATAAAATGCAAAACTCCCAAAACAACAGGAGAAAAAAAGAGGTACTAGAAAGGCTTTATCAGTCAAAAACAAAAGCAAAAACAAACAGGAAGAAGAGGAGGAATAAATAAGCCTAGAAAAAGCATGGTTAACAGAAGACATAAAATAATATGGAAGAAACAAATCCAAATATACCATAAATCACAGTAAGTGCCAATGGTATAAGCTGACCTATGAAACGACAGATGCTATCAAACACAAAAGACACACCTAAATAAAATAAAACAGAAATGTTAAAAATAAAGGGGAGGGAAAATATGTATAAAGCAAACAATATCCCAAAGAAAGTGACATAGCAATATTAATATAAGAAAAATGAATATAAGGGCATATGCATTTATAAGGAAAAAAGAAACATTATTTAATGATAAAAGGAACAAACCATAAAAAGGTATGACAGTAATGAAACTTAATTATTTAAAAATATGGACTCAAATAAACCCAAAAGTAAAATTATCACAAGAGTACATGGAGAAATATTTTAGCATGGTGTAAGCCTTTAAAAGATGTCTTCAGACACTAATAAATCAAACAGAAATACAGTAAAGATATAGAAGATATAAACATCAAAATTGACACTAGATATAATGTACATTTTTAAAATACTTAATGAAACAATTAGAGAATACTTTTTTTTAAAATGACACATAGATAAAACATTCAAACGTACAGAAAATATACCAAGCTACATAGGAGATTTTAACCCAGCTCAAAGAATTGATTTTTATATAGACTATATTTTCTAACTATAATAAAATCTGTAAGAAATAGACAATAAAAAGATAGTTTAAAAAAATCCCCATCCTGTTTATAGATCAAAAGACAAAAATATATATGTAGTAAAAGAGAATAACAGAATTAGTAAAATTAATTAAACAGATATGCACATCAACTCTAAGCCCTGATAGATGACACATATTTTCAAATGCCCATGAAAACTAAAGATTAAAAAAATTTTGAAAGCATAGATTATATGTCACATTCTTGAACCACAATTCAACATAGCTGAACAGTAATGAATATTTAAAAACTAAAATCCAAAGAATTAAGAATTTTAAAAACGAAATGGTTCACATGTAATAAAGGGTGTGGTGAAATCATCAACAATACTCACAGAAGAAAAAGATTAGATTATCAAAGAACACTTCTGAAAAAAATATAATGCCCCAGAATTTTTCAGGTAAGTTTTAAAAAACTTTTAAGAAAGAATTAAGTCTCAAGTTACATAAAGCTACAAGGAGCCAGGTGCAGTGGCTGATGCCTGTAATCTCAACACTTTGGGAGACTGAGGCAGGAGGATCCATTAAGCCCAGGAGGATCCATTGAGCCCAGAAGGGTCCATTGGAGGATCCACGTGTTTGGGACCAGCCTGGGCAACATGGCAAGACCACATCTCTACAAAAAATACAAAAGCAAGAAAAATTAGCCAGATACAGGTGACATGCATCTGTAGTCCCAGCTACTTGGGAGCCTGAGGTAGGAGGATCACTTGAGCTCAGGAGGTCAAGGCCACAGTGAGCTGTGATTGCACCACTGCACTCCAGCCTGGGTGACAGAGAGAGACCCTGTCTCAAAAACAAACAAAAGCTATAGGGAATATAAAATATAGAAAGCTTCTCAAATCAATCTTTGGAATAAAACAATGCTAATGTAAGTCAAGCAGGATGTAAAGCCCTAAAGTAAAATTTTAAAAAGCAAACATAAATTTCAAAATTATTACTATGCATTTAGGCAGAAAAAAAATCCTTGCAAAAATATAAGGATAATTTAATAGAAAAGTCCTTTAAACAGGATTTACTATAGTCATAGTTTAAAAGATACCCATCACAGTCAAAAAGGCAGTAACAGAGTTAACTATCCATTCCCTACTTGGAAACCATTAGTAGAGTAGGAATATAATAGTATTTCTTTAACATGATAAATAATGTTTCTCAACCACTGAACTTGATAAAACGAGGAATAAAAACAAACTATACAATACATTCACACACATTCATAGGATGATTCAAATTTGGCTTGGTGCAGTGGAGAGAAAAGAGTGTTCCAGGCAGAGGAAACGGTAACTCTGAAAGCCTGAAGACGGAGGGAGGTTGGTGCCCTAAGCCCATTAGAAGAAAACACAAACATTTATAAAAGATGGGTGAGAGAATGAAAAGTTTAGAAAAGAGGCTGAGAGGAAG